GAGATGTTTTTTTTAAATGGACCCGAAAAAAGTTATATCTGTGCCGGCGGTATCCTAAAGATGTTGTATTGTACGCAAAATTTAAAACTTTCCCATTACGATATTTTTACGCCGATTGAGGCAACAATCCGGAAGGCCACATCACATGATGTAAGCTGCTCTTTGTATCTCTCGCTGGCAAGGCTGCAACAACAGCAACACTGACTATAGAATCTGCATGGTTGGAAKTGAAAGAAAAAGTTGTAGCGTGATCGAATATCCATAGCTCAAGGCTGCTTTCACGCGGAGATATTTTGAAAATAGCCGGGGTGCCTAAATTGATTTTTCTTGCTTAATAGGAAACAGGAAAATTTACATTAGAAAGGGATTTTTTATCTCTCTCGTTCATTCACAAAAATCGATTGAATACACCACGAAGGGGGGGATATAGATAAATCTAATAAGAATCTCACCATGAATATTCATAATTCCTTTATCCGGAACAACTATTATCTTCCGTAGGCGGAAAGATCGAAACAGTTCTTGTAAGAATATATTCGACAGGATTTCAGTTTAGAATGCGTTCGTACAAGCGTATAAACTTTTGAAGTGAAAATATATAGATGAACATAGACGGTCCTCKCTGTATAGAGTGGAAAACTATTGTAATAAAAGGTGACGCTTTTTATCCTTCGAAATTTGGAATTTTTCCACAACACTCCCAATTACTTTGATTTTCTGATAATCCAAGGAAATCTTCTTTGGTTAAAGTTATTGTACAGTCCCTCGAGAGCGTCTTCCGGTGAAATAGAGCACGCTCTCGCGAACCAATCAGATCGCTCGYACAAATGAGCCTATTTTAATTCATACTATCTTAAAAAATCATGTATTAATAATAACATGGATGAGCAATTTCTCCTATCCCAAAAAATATTTGCACGTTCCTACAAAAAACACAAAAAATGTCTATAACAATATTGACAAAAAAAAATACCAAAAAAATTGTTTATATCTTAATAATTGGCGCCCTCCTTTTCTTAGCCTCTTAGCCTGCGTGAAGTTCATTGATTCTATGAGAATAATAGTCTTTTATTCTTATTCTTTTTTGCTTTTTCAGTAAAGACAACAACAACAAAATGGATTCTAAATTTTCTTAAGTACTTTAAAAAATATCTTGAGGAATATTGGGCATTTAAAGTTGTTTTTGAGTGTTCTAAGATGACATTGTTAGTATCTAAGTGTTAGAGAAAACTTTTTTTAGTGTAGTACAATTGCTACKGTCACGCAATTAAAAATTTATTCGCATTTTCACCGCGATTGATCTGAARGATGAAGTACTCCTCCCATGTTATAAAGAGTTGATTACAGATGTGATGTATCAATTCAGTTTCATTTTCGTCACTCTGTAATTAAGTCTTTCACGTTTTCCTTGTTTGATCTTGTTTATAAACGGCAACCAATTACTGGAATACTTTTCGCAGACCAGTTTTCAGATTTTTTTTTACAATAAAGTTAGAGTTTATGTACTAATAAAGCAAGTCTTGTRTGAACGTGACAAATACTCAAAACGAGTCACAATTAACGTCTGCTTATAGTGCATACTTCAATTAAGATGGCGGAGCCAAAATGACACGTGCAAGCATACACACCCTTCAAAATGCCTCCTCCGCAATATTTCAAGTCTCAACACGCGTCCGAACTGAACTTGAAGACTGTACGTGCATTAATAGTGCAAAGCAAGCGAGAACTAATGAAAAATATTTTCTACTTGGATAACATTTCTCTCTATGAATCCTAATCATGACYGCGGAATGTTGCCAAATCCTGTCATTTTTGATGACTTGCAATCGTTGAAACATTTTTTTTTTCGCAACATCCTCTAGTGCGGCGCCGCAAAGACTGTTGAGACATAACGGTGTACGAATGATTTTGTACAGCTTTTTCAAAAGACATTGAGTATTGCATACAGTGATACTCAACCGAAATATATTGTTGCTATTGGATTCAACTCAAGTGGCGTTACAAAATAACAATTATATGGTAAATTGCTTTCCATTGAAGGTCTAGTACAGACCTCACTCTGAAACAGCGAAAAACCTCTTTTAATTAAAGTGCGGTTTACGATGACAACCAATATAATCCATTTCTTTAATGGAATATAGTCTCCCAAGCATTCAACGTTTTTTAACTGTGTTTTTTATATGTATGACAGCCGCTTACCCCAGAAAATGCTGACCGCTTAYCCCGCCCWTTTCGTGCATTGCAAACGCTACCATGGCAACTTCCATGTTAATGGTTATTCTTTGTTACTKCCGCCCTATCGAGAATGGGCTCTGAGACTTAATGTAAGGAGCATTTTAATGGTTTTCGAAAGCTTTAGCGGATGACTCAGGTAAAAACACTTGTTTCAAGGAATTGCTCATAACGGAAAAAACAATTGTAATGGCACTTTCGTTCGCTATTAACCAACCAGAGGCTACGATAACGACGAGCAATCCTCTTAAATGGAGAATACAGCGATTTATGACGCTTCTGTTGCGCAAAGAGAAGTCTAAACGACTTAGAGASACCTTTGGGAACTATTATTTTTTCGACCAAAGCGGCTAGCTAATGGGGGGAAATTCTTCGGGTACGTTCCAAACGATTTGTCCTAGGAAATTCGAACTGATAATAACAGAAATCAGCTTGCCTTATTACATAAGAAGACATTTGATAAATGACTTTTGGATTGTAATTAACTAACTATCGCGGTTTGATAATGGGAAAAATACTCCGGGAGGAAGAATAGAAGGCATTATGTCCCTAGATATTATATTAAATTTCACTTAGAGAGCTTCGCTTGAGCGGCGCGAAAGTCGATAGTTTTCCAATGCCGGAAAATTGCTAAATTTTTATTAACCAACCAGGGCGGCTAGGATGATAAGAGAAATAGTCTTAGAGAATAAATGAAGCGATTTATTTCAGTAAAAACCATAATTGGTTGGAAAAGACAAACTCTTAGGGCGTGAGGTCTTTAAAGAGCACTATTTGACAATATTGAGTTACCATATACCCTCTTCAGGGTATATATTATTTTCGTTCGGTAGTCAGTCTGAATCATTTTTGAACTGTATAATCTTTGAAATATCTCCGTAGTGGTATAGTGAGTCTCAAAATAGAAATAGAACTCTAAATCCGTACAAGAAATAATCGAAATGAAACTGGGAGCATGTGATAATATAGCAAAAGGGGAAAAAATGACAATTCTATTTCTATTTTGCGCCACAAATTTATAAAATAAAAGTGATCACAACACACTTACAGCAACTGAGCTACACGAATTAAAAAAGGGAGAAAGAAATAATTAGACAGAAAGAAAGAAAGAAATAGACAGAAATTTAAAACAAAACAATTAACAGAAAAAATTATCGCATCGACTTATCAAAAACTGAAAACAATGTTCAATTAATAAAAATATTTAGTTCGGCAAGACAAAACTTCTTAAAATTCATTATAAATGGGAATAGAAGACAAAAAAGGCTAGAATTCACACTTTCGTGACTACAGGCATCATTAGGTCGCCATTTTTCGCCCTTTCAAAGCCTTGATGTTCATGAGGGGCGCTGACAATTTTGCTGATGAGCGAGAATTTTTCGAGGAACCGGCCAAATGCGACGGGAAACACTTAAATTGAGTCCACCACTTCAAATATGAGAGAATGATCAGATATGTTAACTTCACAAGGAAACAAGAATTTCAACACCAAATTCAAAACAATCACTTGAATTTAAACTTTGTTTGCCTAATCAA